GACCAACGATTCAGCAACCCTCCTGCTCGACCTGGTCGCCCCCCCTCCTGCTAATTTCTCTCGTGTTCCATTATTATCCCTCCCCCTTTCCACCCGTCTTCTCTTCCCTTGTTTTAAGGGGTTGCACAAAATGCACGTGGCAGGTAATGAAGACAACCCCCCAGCAAGGGTACGATCGATGGCGGCGAGGGCGGGTACTGAGGGCTTGGGATATACGTATTGACTGGACTTTGGGCAGGTAGGAGCGAACAGCCTTGAAGCGATTGTTGTTGTTGTTGTTGTTGTTGTTGCTGTTGCTGTTGCTGGTGTTACTATTAGTGGTGGTTATTATTATTATCGTTGCTGCGATTATTGGTGTCGTGATGGTTGTTGATGTTGTTGTTGCCGTTGTAATGGTTGCGATTGTGGTTGTTGTTGTTGTTGGTGATATTGTAGTTTGTGTTGTTGATGTTGTTGTTTATGTTGCTATTGTTGCTGCTGTTGTTGTTGCTGCACTTGTTATTGTTGTTGGTGCGATGTTTGTATTTGTTGTTGTTGTTGTTGAACATTATTTATTCTAAAGAATAATTATTGTTGGGACCCCTGGTGCGCGACCCCCTCGCCGCGCCTAGGCCGCAGCTACATTTTCATCATTTTCGTGAGGAAGCCTCAGGTAATACGATGCCATCAAGATCCGGTTGTTTTGTTCCCCCCCGCTGTCCCTTGCAAAAAACACTATAAAATGAAATTTCTTGTTCTAAAATAACCAAACTTCAAGAATCCCTTGCAAAAAATAAGGTAAAGTGGACATTCGCGCGCGCAAGACGAAATCCTTCCAAAACCTTAGTGTTCGTAACGATTTCAACATAAAAACATCAAAAAACCAATGGTTTTTTTTTTTTTTTTTAAAAAAAGTGTCACAATTTCATCCCGCGCGCTCTTGCGGATTTGCAGGAAACCCAACTTTTTTAAACATTTCTGTCAAACGGGCTTTTGCGATCAACTTCTTCACGTGCTTCGAACTTCTCCAACAACGGTTGCGCACCTGCCAGGGCCATCATCCCTGTCAAATAATACCATGCGGGACACATTCGTTTTTTCTTTCCGTGCGCACGCCGAAATCTTCAAAAACCATTGGGTTTCGTAGGAATTTTAGCACCGCGCAACATAAAATCATTTTTCGCACCGTAGGCCCTTCAAATCGTCGTCGTCGTATACTAAGCTAGTTTCCACAAGATGTTACCACAAGAAGTCATTGAAACCATGCGCCAGTGTAGTAGCCACGGTCGTCCGCATGCCACGAAGTGAAGTGTCCGAACGTCATAGGGCGGGAAGCTGGGTGTGGGTGGTGGCGAAGAGTCGTTTGGAAATGTGGTAGAGCTTGAACCGGCCCCCCCACAAAGTGGGGGTATTGGCGGGCGTCGTATGAAAACCCTGGCACTGGTGAGAACACTGAGCGTTCGGGTAAAATGATTGTTGTTGTTGTTGTTGTTGTTGTTGTTGTTGTTGTTGAATTTTCATTTCTGCAGAATAATCATTGTTGATCCTCCCCCACCGGTGCATACTGCTTTTTCTCAAAAAAGTGTGCCCCTCCGATCAGCGCTGCCGCTGGCCAGGCCGACGGTCCGCGGCCGCCCCGCCGCTTGCCGGGGCCCGGCCTGCGGGGAAGTACACCCCCCCAAAAGGGCTTCGATCGAAGACGAAGAGGGCGGGTATCGAGGGTTTGGGAAATACGCGTGATTGAACACTCGAGCAAATAAGGGCCAGCAGTCTTAAAATAAATGTTACATTCTCATTTCTGAAGAATAATCATTGTTGATCCCCCCCACCGGTGCATATTTTTTTCCCAATCAAAGCGCGCCTCTCGACGCTCGCACCCTGTTTTGTGACAGGGAAAGTCTTGATGCTCAAACTGGGCCCCTGGCCCCCGGGTTACAACAACAACGGCTCCCGCCGGAGACTTCCTTGCAATTTAGCCAGGACCCCCGCTCCCGCCCGAGACTTCCTCCCATTTTATTCAGGAATCGCGCTCTCGCTTAGGACTTCCTTACAATTTATTCAGGAATCGCTCTCCCGGCGCTCTGGAGTCGCGCTCTCGCTGGAGGTTTCCTCGCAACTTTCTGAAGAATAGCCTTGCGTTGGAATTTCTTGCAATTTGCCCGAGCGCCGCGCTCCCGACACCCAGGCACCCAGGAGTCGCGCCCGCCGTTGTGGCCCCATGTGCATGCCCTTCGTGGCCCCGCTGTCGCCATTTGTGTCCCCCTCGCTGTCCTACGTGGCCCAGTTGCTACCCTCAGTGGCCCCATAGTTGCCTTCTGTGGCCCCGCATTATCTGCACTTCGTGGCCCCCGCTCGTTCGCGCTCTTCGTGACCCCATACGAATTCCCTTCGTGTCCCCGCTGTCGCCCTTCGTGGCCTACTTCGTGCCCTTCGTGGCCCTGCTGTCGTTCGTCAGCGCCCACTCGGCCTCAGGTTCTTGGGGGATGTTTTCTAGATTATGAATGTCCAACCTACTCAAAGCTTTGACCACCAGAAAGAATTTTCGAGCACCAAGAAAGTAACGAAACTTCGCATGTCGGGCCCCGGGAGGCGCTACCAGTTCGACACGGTTCCGAGCCGTTCTGGATGTTCGAGAGATTCTGTCTGGGATGTGGGTTCTTAAGTGCTGCGAGAGAGCAACATATTGTTCTCCTGCGTCCGACGGCACCCGTGTGGGGGCCTGCTGAGGCCAGCTTGGACTCCCTTCGGCGGCATCCCGACATACTGTAATGCCACGTGTACGTCGCCCGCCCAGGGGCGACGCGCGCGCCGAGAAGTCTTATAGCGTGTGCGTCGTGGCGGGCGCCTTCTGGCCGCGCCGCTCGGGAAGCGATGTGCCACAAGAGGGCTCCACGATATGTTTCGGGTCGGACACCTCCGAGGAGGACACACAGTTCGGGGAAGTGTGCGACGCGAGTGAGCCAGACATCGGGTGTGCCGACGTTGTTTGAGGAGCGCGTCCTGGATTTTTGGACGGCCCACTTTTCGTGGGATGTTTGCAGCGGGAGCCCACGTCAAATTTCATATTGGGTCTCGTCGTTTTCATGATGGCCCCGTCGGGCCAACCCGAGTCCCCCGAACCCGAGTCTCACGTCTTCCCCATACCACAGCATGGTTCCACCACATGCTCGGGTCGGACGCGCGCCTCCGAGGAGGACACATAGTGCCAGCATGTCCGTGTGCGTCCCATACCTGGGACGGGGTGGGGGGAGGGACTTAGTGGGCCTTGGAAACGACAGGGCCGTTTTTTACCGGTTCCGTTCTGCCGTTTTTTTGCCGGTTCCGACGCCGTTTTTTTTTACCGGTTCCGTCGCCGTTTTTTGACCGGTTCCGGCTCCGGTTCCGATCCTGGAGCCGTTTTTTTGCCGTTTCCGTTCGCCGTTTTTTTGCCGTTTCCATTTCCAAGGGGCATTTTTGCGGAAACGGTGGAAAAACGGCCTTGCCGTTTCTGGGGCCCCACAAAGGGGATCAGGGAAGGCCTCTTGGAAGCACCCCTGCTCCTGAGCAGCTTCCCCCCCTCCCCCTCCCGCCCTTGGCCCGCCGCCGGCAGGTGTGGCACGAGCGCCCCCGGCTTGCCTCCCCCCCCTCCTCCTCCTCCTCCTCCTCCTCCTCCTCCTCCTCCTCCTCCTCTCCTCCTCCTCCTTCCTCCTCCTCCTCCTCCTCCTCCTCCTCCTTCTCCTCCCCCTCCCTCCTCCTCCTCCTCCTCCTCCTCCTCCTCCTCCTCCTCCTCCTCCTCCTCCTCCTCCTCCTCCTCCTCCTCCTCCGCCTCCCTTCTCCCGCCCGGCCCGTGCCGCGCAGACCGCCCAATAACAAAACAATACAACACGAAAGGTCCGGCTCGAGAGGCGCTGCGCCGCGCTCGCGGCCCGGGGGGGACGGCTGCCATCCGTCCGCGCGCACCGGGGGGGCGCGAGGTTGTTTTTGATCGTTCAGTGGGGCATGTCCTTCTGCAGGAGGAATAGTCGAGAACAGGCAACAAAATAGTCTGGGGAAGATGTTTCGACGACTTTTCACTATTTTTGATTCTCGTTTGACTCTGTTCGATGTTTCCTCCAAAATCCGCCTGTAGGGGGCATGCCCGACCTAGTTTATCGCCTGGCGATGACGGTCGACTACACGTAAGAGTGACTCTTCGCCAGAGTGACCTTTTCGCGCGGGCTCATCGTGGTCCCCCCCGATGGTTGAGCGCGATGCGACAGCGGCTGATTGCGCGCTCGGTGTTTGCCACCTTGCGCCTCCTTAGTCCGCGCCCCTAAAGGTCACTCTTGCCTAGGTTTACCCCTTGCGTGTAGCTGAAACGGGCGCAACCGGAGGGGGATGGACGAGGAGGGGGCCGGTCACGTCGCGTTTTGCGCCCGCGCTGCGTGGGAATTTTTAAGAACGGCTCGGAGTTGTGTGTTTCATATTGTCGGCCCATGAAGGCCCTCGCCAGAAGCCGGGACCGTCAAAGAACGACTCGGGATAAAAAACCGGCCCCAGGAAATGTTCGAGATTTCCACGGGTCGACGCTTTGAACAGATCACCAAGTCGGGGGGGTCTGCGGACGAAGGAGCCCGCCCTCGGACCCAGGGACCATCAGAAATGGATCTGGTGCGAAAAGTCGGCTCTGGGGACGGTCGGAATGGGGGCGATAAAAAACAAGGGTAATACAAAAACAAGTGTGATAAAATCAAATATGAAACAACAGCTGTGGTAACAAAAACAGTGTGATAAAAAGTGAGAAAAAAAAGCTGTGACACATCTGCGTTTTTACATTTGTCACATAAATCTTTTATCACATGAGACCAAAATCAGGTCGACGGATGTGTGGGATGCGTGCTTACCCCCCCGCCCGCCCGTCTCCATCGGCAGCACGCACCCTGCCCCGGCCCTCGCTGCACGCAGTCCGCGTCGTCTCGGAGGGCTGCGGGTGAGCAGGCACGCGCTGGCGCTGTGTACGCGGTCCTGTGGAGCATCGTTCGGCTGTCGGCCGGGCCGAGGGCATGTCCGATGCAGACGTGGAGAGGCTGAAGGGCCTCGTCAGGGGCACCTTGGAAGCCAACGGGGTGCTGGGCCAGGTGCGCGACAGAAGGAGACGGGGTCGACTGCACCGGCATGCGCGCGCGGGCTTTCCGTGTAAAGTCGCGCTCGAGCGCCCTCGCGTCCATTTTGGCGTGCCTCGCTGGCGGCCCGCGCAAGTCCCAGCGTAAGGCGGCTTCTCGCGCGCGTGCGCACGCCATGTGAATGAGCGCCCACGAGGAGGAGGAGGAGGAGGAGGAGGAGGAGGAGGAGGAGGAGGAGGAGGAGGCGGAGGAGGAGGAAGAGAGGAGGAGAAGGAGGAGGATTAGGAGGAGGAGGAGGAGGAAGAGGACGAAGAAGAAGAAGGATAATAATAATCCGCATATTATTTATAATATTAATTAAAATAATCATAATAATAATAATCATAATACGAATACTAATAGCAATGACAATAACAACAATACTACGACTAATCATACGAATACGAATAATGCTAATAGTATTACTAATATTACGATTATTGATAGACTAATACCAACATTATTAATAATCATAGTAATAATAAAAAACAGCAATCATGATAATAGTAATAAAAAGAAGAGGAGGATGAGGAGGAGGGGGACGGGGAGGAGGTGGAGGAGGAGGAGGAGGGAGAGGAGGAGGAGGAGGTGGAGGAGGAGGAGGAGGAGGAGAAGGAGGAGGGGGATGATGATGAGGAGGAGGGGGAGGGGGCGGGGTTGGGCTTGCGCAGGGCCCTCCGTTCTTTGACGCACGTGTTTTTGTCCAAGTACTGCGGCGCGCGCGTGTATAGCATGCGGCCGAGTGACACCGCCAGCGCCCCTCGTGGGTTCGCCTACCCGGCGCACGAGCTTGACCCTGACCTAGAAACTAGGCTTCCCAGATGGGGTCGGAGTAGATGGGGTCGGAGGATCGCGTCGCATCGCCGAGGCATCGACGATGTGGCTCGATGCGGAGCCCGATTTTCTCCACGCTGGCGTCGCCGGTGCGCCGCCAACGTCGACGATGCATCGCGGACGCATCGCCGATGCATTGGCGATGCATTGGCGATGCGGTGCGATGCTCCGACCTCATCTACTCGGACCCCATCTAGGAGGCCTCTAGTTCCTCAGACCTGTCGTTGCAGAACCAAGCTGCAACATTGCGACAAATCACGGCCAGAGCCTTGGGCCCCGTCTTTCTGAGCCATTCCTCGAGCCGGATCGATCTGTGAGGGTCCCGGGGCCCGAAGTTCGGCGACAACGCCCAGTGTGAAACAAATGCAGCGCCAGGTTCTGTTCGGTGGCGAGCGACTGCGGGGAAGTGAGAATGAGAAGGCCTTTGCAAAAGGCGGCGGGGCTCACGAGAGGCCCTCGCGCCCTCCGAGGAGTTCTCTCGGTGCCTTCGGGGGAGGCTCCGAGAGCTATCCTCGGAAGGCTGGGGGAGTCTTCCGAGCCATCTGAGACGGCCCGCCCCCCTCCTCATCCCTCCTCCTCCTCCTCCTCCTCCCTCCTCCTCCCTCCTCCTCCCCGGGGCTCGCCGCCGCCTCGGGGGCTGCCATCTCGCGCGGGGCCCGGGCCCTCTCGTCGCAGAGGTGCGCGCCGAGCTGCTCGCGGAGGTCTGCCGGGCGGCCGACGGGGGCCAGCCCAAGCGCACGCCCGCCGCGGCCGCGCGGCTGCTGCAGGCCCCCGCGGGCCGGCTCCTGGCCGGTCTGGTGCGGGAGTTCCTCGAGTTCTACAGCCGCGGGGAGGCGTAAGTAGCCAGCCTCGAACGTATCCCTATCCCTAAGATGACAGCCATGACCCATCGCGTCGTCAACAAAAAGTCCGGACGGGAGGTTTTCAGCTACATCTTCGGCCCCGAGGGGGGCCCTCGCCGGGCCTGGTGGCCGTCAACAAGACGACTCGGGACGAGAAACCAGTCCCAGGGAAAGGGTCGGGACTTCCAGGGGCGCCGTCCTGACAAAAATCAGGACCTCGCGCGTCTGGGCTCGGACTTCGAGGTTCGAGGTCTCCGGGCGGTCTCCTCGGCTCTCGACGGCGTTCCAGCCTCGGGATGCCTTCCAGCGGCTGCGCCTCACCGAGGGCGTTCCAGTGATGCCCAGATCGCCCCGAACGGCCGCCAGAGAGCTGAGTTATGTCCCGAAAGCCAGGCATGCTCTCGTCGTAAAACAGCATCGGTTTATTCCCAGCCTTCCTGCCCTGGGTACTCGTTTTGAATAGAGCACTGCGCGCGCGTCTCCTTCCGCTTCTCTCCTCCTCTCATCTTTCCTACTTGCCTCTTACCTCGCTCCTTCCTGCGTGCCAGCTTGCTTCCTACCTGGTCATCCCTGAGGGGCTGCGATCCGCGAAACTGTCGTGAGGGCTGCTGGGGGTCCAGCGGAGTCACGTGCTACGCAGATTCATATTCGATCTCGCCATTCCAGAAGGGGCTGCGATCTGCGAAACCTTCGCCACTTTCGAAAATTGCTTTTGGTTCCAGCGCACTGACGTGCTTCGCATTCTCAGATTACCTCGCCATCCTTGTGGGGCTGCGATCTGCGAAACTGTCGCCACTTTCGCGAGCTGTTGGGGGGTCCAGCGCAGTGGCGTCACAGTCTGATTCAGACTAGACCTCGTCATCCCTGTGGGACTGCGATCTGCGAAATTGTCGCCACGTTCGAGATCTACTGGGTTGTATCCTGGGACAGCCAAAAGATGATTTTACGAATGGTGCATTGGACCTGAACATTATTCCATCTATCCTTTTGTGAAGCGTGCCAAACCTGTGTTTCCGGGTGCCATGCGCATTTTGTAACGAAGTTGTCAGTCGGACCTGCGCCAACCAGGGTGCAGCGGGCGGCATGCACGGGATGCTACCCCTGCACGTGGACATGCGCATCCCCTTGCTGGAGCACTTGGACCAGACCACGTGGCCTCGTCAAGGACGCCGAGGGCGAGGTCGTCCACGCGGCCGCGTACCCGAACTATGACGACGAAGTGGAGGCAGCGAACGCCGAGCGACGTCCAGCGTGCCTGGGGCACTTGCCGCACGGCGCGTGGGTGCGCAGGGACAAGTACAAGGCAGGCCCTTGCGGCAAAAGCTCGCGGAGCTCGCTGACAGCAGCGACGCCGCGGACGCGGCGCGCCTCGTTTCCATCGAGCCGCAAAGTTCGAGCCCCTTTGATGTCTTGAAGCGAAATGTCGCGCGCGATGGCCAGGTCGTCTCCCATGCCGAGGATCTGACGTCCGCGGCCTGCCAGGGCCGCGCCACGCACCGCGGTGTCATTGTCGACGCTGGGTGCGGCGATGAGAAGAAAATAGACGCCCTCTGGCTGCATCTCTTCGCGATGTTGTCGAGGGCGACGACTGTGGATAACCTCCTGGCGATGCGCGACCCCGCCCTGGATTTCCAGGTCCGCGGGCCGCCCGCAAACCCGGGCGGCGCGCCTTCGAGCGTTTAGCTCCCGCGCTGAACAGTGCAGGGCTGACGCATAGGAGCTGGTGGGCGAGCCAGGCTTCGCTCGCTTCTTGCACTCGCTCTAAGCTGGTTTGATCATGTCGAGCGCCGCGGCGACGCGGCGCAGGCAACGCTGCATCTTAAGCGTCTGCCCGAAAACGGCGACGCTCTCCTGTCTCCCCCGTCGCTCTCGTCGTCGTCCACCTTCCCTTGTCACCTTCTCTCTGCTGTTGCCGCGCGGTTTGTGTGGGCCCCCGTTGCGTTTCGTTCCCACCCCCAGGTCCTCCTCAAGCTTGGGCGTTCGCTATTCGTCCTTCCATCGTCGCATTGTGAAGCATGCCGCGCGCATCACACGTAACTTACACACCATACAACTGCGCGTGTGCAGTCATTGTCATGGCAAGATTGGGCCAATTCCTCTTGCCACGTAATGTGCGTTGTTGAGGTACATACAGGTATGTACATTCATCATACATGCGTACAGACAGACAGAAAGACAGACAGACAGCTAGACAAACAGACAGACAGACACACAAACACACATACGTAGTTCCGGCCTCCCCGGGCCCTTGCCTGGCGTGGGGACCGTCAAACAATAATTCAGGACCAGAAGTTGGCCGTGGGGATCTTGGGCTTTGACGTCATGAAGGAAAACAACATAGGGTCGGGGTCTAAATCTGGAGGTTATCCTGTCCCTTCCCGTCGCTTTCGTCGTCGTCCACCTCCCCTTGCCACCTTCTCTTTGCTGCTGTCGCGCTGACTCTTCGGGCCCCCGTTGTTTTCGTTCCCACCCCCATGTCCTCATCAAGCCCAGGCCTTCGCTCTTCGTCCTTCCATCGCTCAATTGTGAAGCATGCCACGTGCGCGCATCACACGTAGCTTACGCAACATACAACTGCGCTTTTGCAGCGATTGTGTTGGCAAGCTTGGGCCAATTCCTCTTGCCATTTAGTGCACGTGATTTGGGTACATATGTGTACATTCATCATACGTGCGTATACACAGAGAGACCGCCAGACAAACAGACAAACAGACAGACAGACAGACAAGCACACATACATGGTTTCGGCCTCCCCGGGCCCTTGCCTGGCGCGGGGACCGTCAACAATGATTCAGGACGAGAAGCTGGCCGTGGCGACCTCGGGGGGTTCGACGCCATGAAGGACACAAACATAAGGTCGGGGTCGATACCTGGAGGGTGGAGACGGGCACGGAACGAGTGGTGACGAAGACGGACATCAGTTCTTATTCGTGCTGGTCAGGATTCGCTGTCGACGTTGCCGCGGGCATTGCCAGCATGAGACGGCACCTCGCATTTCAAATAGCGGCCCTTTTTTGGCATCGCGTTCAGTTTTCCCGCACCTATGATGATGGGCTTGCGAGGTTTGCCAGGCCCCGGCTGTGCCGCCGCTCTTGAACGACCCCGGAGTGGACTGGCGGTTTTCCATTTGACGTGGGAGCCCGCGTCAAGCGCCAGACCAGCAAGCCGTATTTCATCCCCCGGGGAACGGGCGGCACCAGGGGTGAAGGCGGGAGGGGGGCCGGTCACATCACGAGTCGCGCCGTCGCCGTCAGTGGGAAGCCCTAATTATTTTTAATGTCCAGTCGGCGCCAGCGCGAATCGTGACTTGACCAGGGGGGGCAGGGCCGGTCATGGGCGTCATCGCGAAGAATACAACGGAAGCACGGGTTCCGCGCAGAACCGTGGCTGGGTGGTCCCCAGGACGTGTGCCGACCCATGACCCTGATCTCCGACGGTCTGAGTTTCTTCTTTGAAGGGGCCCCAGGACACACAAATAAATACACACAAATAAAAGGATCCCCCATATTTCGCCATATTTTTTGGTTTTTGTCTTCCCCCAACTTCCCATATTTTCTTGTATTTTCTGGGGGATCGACGATTCATTGTGTCTGTGTGTTTTTTCCCCTCCTGATTCTTCTGAGTCACGGGCGTTTCCGCGAGCCAAAAGGAACGCGCTCCGCGCAGCATTTTGGATCGGTCAGCACAAGGGCGCGTGCGAACCCAGCGCCCGGATTTCCGACGATCGGGTCCTGTTCGGCGTGGGAGACCCTGGACAGAATTACGAATTGGGCCCGCGGGTCCCGCCGTTTTCCAGTCGGCCCCGTCAGGCGAGCCCATGGGAGGCCGCGTGTAAGGGGGGGGGGGGCGATCAATAGGGGGCGATCAATGCGGGGGCCAGCCAGGGCTGCCGAAAAGGAGCCCTCAAGGGCCCCTACAAAGGGGCACTTGAGGGCCCCAGAAGGGGGCCCGAAAAGGGCACCCCTCGCTTCCCCATCTGCTCGCGCCCATGCCCAGGCCGACTTCCCAATTCCGGGGCCCAAAGGCATACACCACCACCACCACCACCTCCCTCATGATGTCATCCCCTCCCTCTCCCAGGAGAGAGAGAGGACGATGAGGGTGGAGGAGGGAGGAGGAATCGACGTGGTGGTGGTGGTGGTGTATATTCTGAGGCCCCGCACCAACATCCGAGCCGACACGCCTCCCCGTCGCAGCCTCTGGCGCACCCTCTCCGTCTTCCTGCCCGAGGCGGGCCTCGAGCCCGAGGCACCGGGCCGCGACGCGGCGGCGGCGGGCGCGGGCATCGAGTGCGCCGAGGCGGACCGGTCGCTTCGCGGAGGAGGGCCAGGTTGATACAGCGGCGGCCTCCTCCTCTGCCTCCTCCTCCTCCGCCTCCTCCTCCTCCTCCTCCTCCTCCTCCGCCTCCGCCTCATCCTCCTCCGCCCTCTCCGCCTCGTCTCTTCTCTTCTTTTCTCCTCCCTCCCTCCCTCCCTCCTTCCCTCCCTCCCTCCCTCCCTCCTCCTCCTCATCCTCCTCCTCCTTTCGCTTCATGATCTCACCATATTCTTTTTCATTTCTCCCCCCTTCCTCCTCCTGATCCTCCTCCTCCTCCTCCTCCTCCTCCTCCTCCTCCTCCTCCTCCTCCTCCTCTGCCTCCGGACACCAGAGGCCTCCGAACACGTCGCGAGGACCTCCGCAAGACCTCTGGAGACGCTCCCTGGGGACCGCTGGCCCGGCCGAGATCTGGTCAGAATCGGCTCCCAGACCCCTGCTAGGGTTGCAGCCGTGGCGGCGAGACGCCTCCAGGAGACCCAGGAAAGGACGGGCAGCAGCCTGGGAGAGGGCAGCCAGCGTTCAGGCCCAGAATCAATCCGCTCCAGAGCGCTCCCGAATATTCAGAGCGTTCCGGAACGCTTTGAGAAGGCCGCGGCGCCCGAAGTATCCTCCAGAGCCCTCCTCCTCATCCTCCTCCTCCTTCTCCTCCTCCTCCGCTGGATCTCAGAGATCTTCGATTT